AAATAATCGATTAATTATCACTTTGATATCATTGTGAGTAACTTATTCGGACAGAAATACAGATTTTTTATAAATGAAAACAGTTTTGTAGATACCTATGTTGGTATTATTTTTAAATAGGTATGAGYAATTTAAAATTGACAAAAATATTTTTATCTTTAACTTTTATAATTTGTAAAAATACTTGAATATTGAAAATAAACGGATTATTATGAACATAAAATATAAATAAGCCTTGAAAAACAGTGTCGTAAACGTTGGCTTAACAGAAACACAATTGTCAAATCGGAGATATTAAGGAAACCCATAGACGAAAAGCCAAAAGGATATTTTCGCTGSAGAAAAACATCAGGTAGGTACTGTATCAGAAAATGTATCTTTAATTAAATGAAGATAAACGTATATTTATGAGGTTTGATTTAAAAAGTCTAACACAACACCTCCCCTCCTCTGTTCAATCTTAAATCTACTCTTTTCTTATTTATTCTGATTTAAMAACTTTCAAAGAATTTTTATTCTGAATATGTAATTATTCAGTACCTATAATTATTAACAATTCGTTAGGTAGGTATATTTAATGTGTTAGTATTATTCATGTCATGATTTMAGTATTTTTACTTATAAATTATTAGTAAAAGTTAAATCAATTACTAGCTGAACCCGTGCAATTTGTAGCCCGTTAAAAATCCTACCTCTGATATATGTCTCAAAATGTGTGTTAAATTCGTTTCCTGAGATTATGCTGGCAGTAAGTAGATAGATAACGGTTAAAATATAAGCTGTATTACCCTTTGATGCCGAGTTAAAGTAAAGAAAAATATTAAGATTGTTGAATAATTATATATATATATATATATACAGTATACACACACATAACAGTGGTGCATTTACAGGTGGCAACATGGGGAATAAATCCCCCATGGTCTATTATTCGTTACTTTTTTTTATAATGTTGTAATGTCGATGGTATAAGAGAACTCCACTCCTCTTCCCTTAGGGAAATTAAATATTTGCTAAAGTATATTCTCCTCCTTGACAAAATCCTAAATACGCCACCAATAAATAAATATGTGTCTTGGTGTGGCGCGGTCGTACGCTCCAACTGTAGAAACCCTCAGAGTGTACGTATACAAGCCGGTGTTGCTAGCACCCGAATGGATGACCACTCAAGTTTTTAGTAACAAATCCTTGCCACACGTCATACATTACGTGTTCCAATGCTCCAAACCGATAGTTTCCCCCTACAAACAGCTAATCAGAGGCGAAAACTAATTAAAATATGGAGGGGGAACAAAACAAAAGTATTCAATACCCACCTATTAAAAAAATTTYGCTGTACTCATATAATATAATATACCTACTAATAACAATCTTGCTATTAAAAATATATATATATAATATATATATATATATAAATTGGAATAATTAATATCAATTAAAGTAATTAATACTACAATTTAT